TAAAGATTAAAATAAACTGATTTTATTATAATACGCAACCTGTACTTTACAAAGTAATGTTAGGAATTAGATATGATTCGGAGAATTATAACAAAATTAATATTCACATAATACATCAATCATGAAGCTTTTGGGTCAAACAGTAAGCATTATTTATCTGCATACTTTATAATCCTGTTGTTTTAATAATCAAATACACATTGGTAAGTAGTATACTTTCAATATGTCTAAATATGATATCGACTAAAAGATCTCACCATTCACACGATGCTTCATACATTGATGTACTTTACCATGCAGCATTGTATATATTGTTCGCTATATTACGAGATATTACAAATCAAATTTACGCATGCTTCGATTACAAAGCGACGTCTCCTCATCAATTACGAAACGCAATTCGTTTAGCGTGAAAGAGAGAGAGGCCGTTTTTTTAAGGACATAATTTCTCAGACATGTACGTTATTTCATTGTAAATCGCTTGTTTACAACAGTATATGCAGCACGGAAAAGTAAAATAGACATACAGATTTACGATGGTCCAAAATTCATAAATTTTCTACCGCAGCATTGAGTGAGAGAGACACCTCTGCAAGAGATGAAATGGCACTTGCGCGCAAACAGAAGAGAAAAAAAAAATTCTTATAACGAAAAAGAAATCTTATAACGGCAATACCAGACGTTACACTCTTCTTCTCTCATTAAAAAACTTTAAAGGCATAAGTTATTCTTACTGATTATTCATTTTTATTACATAGACTGTGTCTCCAGTTTTTTAAGATTCAAAATATGGATTTTTTCCGCTTTACATTGTACTAGCTTGAAAAGCTGGAGTAAAGTTTTCTTAAATCAATTCGCATCCTTGTTGGATTATCTCATGCGCGAATATGATGTAGTTATATGCAATGAAATCGGGGTTCCAGGAAAATACTACTTTTAGTGAAAAATTCCGACAAAGAACCAGCTGTGCTTGACAAATGCATTTTTATCATTTTTTTCTATCTAATCTATACATGAACTCGATACACTCATTCAACTTTCCAAGCTATTACCTCCTTTCTTTCACAAAGCTGTTTTTTTTCGTGTTTTTTTTATTTCTTTTTTAACATATATTTTCAGCGGGCACCCTTTTAATATTATTTGGTACCTTTATTAAATCTCGCCTCATGCTATTGCAAAAAGGAAGATATCTCTGTTTATACGGTTAGGCTAAAAAGTGCTGCCTTCCGGAGGCTGAGAAAGTTTCATATTTTCCTTCAACGTCATCAAACGACGGAGTTCTTGAAGAACTGTTTTAATTGTGTACTCTCGTTGCCATTTTGCAAGGACCGGAACGCTGCGATTATCCACCTTGTATGAAAATTTCATATTCTAAGTACATATGTTCTTTGTCTTAATATAAATGTACACTGCAATTTTGTATACTTACAGCTCCAGTGGCACTGTTAATGCAATTCATATTGATTCTGCTTAAAAATCTTACATTAGGGGCATCGTCTGGATATCTTTGACCACAGTCAATTTTCAAACTATACATCCTATTTTCATATGGTGTCTAAAAGATATGACATATTAATTACATATTTCAAAAAATATTTCAAAAAATTAAACTTTAATATTTTTGTAGTATCATATTTTGATGCAATTAATTCCTACAGTTATATTTTTGTTCCAATACATGAATATTTTAACAATATAATATATACAAATGTTATTAATACTCAAACTTTTATAAAAATTGTTTTATAACTTTTATAACAATTATTCATTTAAGCGTCACGGAAATTTTATCTGATATTGATGTAAGAAAAGTCAAAAATGCATATATTTAACATAAGTATATCGCAATGTAGATTATTTGTATTTAAATTTTCTTGAAAGCAAATTTATATCCTATAAAAAGTAACATAAAAAGATGATACAGATTCGTGTTAGCGCAACGATGACAACACTACACTAGTAAAAGATATCTTACCCTAGGTGGTCCAATTATCATACCAGTCCAATGCGTGAGGGTCATGTCATCGTCGTTTTCCAGGCCCCAACTGATTGTGCCATCACCCACACCTTTCTGGCCCTGTTCCAGCTCCTCTAGGAGTCGAAAGTTTCGGGGCATAACTGAAACAGGATTTGAAGGGTAATGTATGGCTTGGTATAAGAGCAATCAATTTGTAAATTGTAGTCAGACATATACCGTCAATATTGAAAATCTATCTATATATAATGTAAATTAGATTTTAAGAATTAATAGTGTATTGGTATTTTTCAGCAAAAGACAGTGTCACTTCATCTTTGTTTATCATTGGCAAATAATAATGCACTTTCTACAATAAACTATTACCTAAGCTTTAAATCTTAAACTGTAAGAAATTCATCAATAGTTGATTATTCTTCTAACATTTGACTGTGATTAGTCAATTTCTTACAGCTTCAGACTTAAGCTTAGGTAATGACTTATTGTAGAAAGCTCATAAAGAGTAATGATTCATTGTATCTGTGTCTCTTGTAAACCATCCTATATTAGAATATGGCTGTAATTAACACTGATTTGACCTTGAGCCTCATCTCTATATTTGGTTTATAAGCTAGAAATTAAGAAATTATAAAGAGAGTCTCTGAAATCCTTGAATTCTATCCTAAATAATACAATCTCCAAGAAATATCTTAATCACAGATCTTTCTTATGGCCTAACTTCTTACATTCTGAAGACATTTTCATTTCCCAGAATATCCCTCAGAGAAGTATTGTATGGAATAACATACTTGATCATAAATATAAAATATCCTCAAATTACTCCTTCAAAAGAATACTAGCAATAATAAAATCAAAGGAAAATAATATATTAAATTGTCATACAAATAAATATTGTATACCCGAAAGGCACAGGTATAATACTTATTATTTGTCAACATAACTTTAACTTATTTTTCGTTAGATATAAAACGTTTACGTCAATTTTTCAGAGTGCTTTATACTTATAGTCAAGTGTATAATCTAATAAATATATAATCTTATATCATCATATCATTCGTTAAATCTAGATTCTAAATAAATAAACTTAAAGATCGCAATTCTATTTTTAAAGACAAGATTTGTCGCGTTGCATATATGTTATAGCGTTGGATTTATTAACATAATAATTATAATACGATCATAACAGCTGAAACGTACCCGCGCGATATTCGCGCCGATACAGGTTATGGGCACGAGGGTAGGATTTGAGCATGGTTAACCTTTTCGCCGTTGCGATTTTCGAGTCATCGGGAGTTCCGAGAAGAGTGCGCGATACCGCGGGAGGATAATACCGACTCACGACGGATGTCTACCGTCTCGATGACTCGTTACACGAGAAATACGAGCGGCTCGCGGTATCCTTGCCATCCTGTCAATTCACATAGCACGAGAGTGCCGGGTCCGACAATCGTCGCATCGTCCCACCTCGGGGGTCTCATTATCCGATTAAAAGGGAGAGAAACGAGGAGGAGAATCTATCCGGATGTTTACAGGCCGTTCAAATCAAATAACTCACCTACACCGCTGTTGGGCACCGCCATGATCTCGTATTTCTGGCGAGGAACTGTATTTTTTTTCCCCCTAAAGTACAGCGGGGCGAACGTGCACCGTACGCGGGCGAGTCACTCACGTGAGCTTGGCGCGGTCTTTTTAACTGCGGCGCGAGCTTCTCATCACCCGTCGGACGTTCAGCGATAATCCGGCGCGCTGCGACCAAAGGGAAGCGTGTGTGCGCCGTGTCGGCCGTGTCCACCCGATAAACGAAAATACACTCCGCTCCGCGAGAGAATTCAGCCAACCTCCGCTCCGCGCTCCGCTCCGCGCGAGAGATCGCCCGTTTTCTCCACGGACTAGTCGCTCTCTAGATCACGTCCGTCGCGTTCGTTGTTCGTGGGTGAATCGCACGCGCCTCGCCACCGGAGGAGCGTTCTACTTTACGGCCTTTACGCCCGCGACCGATTACGAAATCATTTCATCCTTGTTGCTTACCGAATGTTGAACAAGGATAAAGAATTCTCGTGAGTGCTGTAAGCGCCAAAGTGGATTAACGCATCCCAGATTTGACGATTTGCGTCGCTCCATTCGTAGTTCTACCACTGACGAAGACAGTTCTATCGTCTAGTCTACAGTCTACACTTTCTTCACTTCTCGCTTTCACTGCCGTCTGAATCACGCGACATTAAATGCGACAGGAGATCCACTAAAATCTGTTATTGACTGGTTAGATTCATTAGAAATTTACTCTAAATTTTATAAGCTAATATGAAACTGTCATTAGAAATTTTCCGTCAATCAGCAACTTACTTCTACAAATTTTAAAAATCAATATTCACAAGTTTCTTTAGAAAACGTATATATATATATATATATTTTTTTTTTTTTTAAACAAAAGGTAAATCTAGGCTGATTATCATAATAATTAAATCCGATTTTGATATTTTTTTCATATATAATTATTTCTATTGTGCATCAGTTCGTTTCATTGAAAAAGTTTCAATTTATCATTCAATAAATATTTTCAACAATTAATTAGGTTCGTGAAATTATTCAATAACGACAAAGTAATCTCTATATTTTATCGAGAACTTACTTCAGAGGAATGAATTCTCATTTGAATGTAGGGCACATATTTTCCCGAGACAAATAATAAAATGAAATGTTTCGTAACATCTAAGTCGTAATAATAATAAAGCAATAGCTATTCGCCTTCATTCCATCTTCTTTTATTCCTCAAAGAAAAGAAATTGTATTTTCAAACTTCGGCGCGCCTAATCATATGGCGGAACGTTATGGCGGAGTTGCAAACGAGAATCGCAATAGCGAGACATCGATTGGTCGAACGCGAGGCAGTGCTGGCAGTATTGGCGGTGCCCCGCGAAGGTGACGAAGAGTAACGAAGAGCGAATCGGTTTGCGGGAGGGCAGCGTGCGGTGTGCGGTAGTGCGGTGTGTATCGGCGCCGTTGGTGGCCGTTGGTTGCCGGCCGGTCGCGCGCAAGAGCAACTAGCAAGAACAGAGTAGCGGAGAAGCGGAGCAGTCGTGAGCGGCGCGAGCGCAGGTGAAGGTGGTTCTCTTCTCTCATCCCCTCCGATAATGAACGGCGCGCGATAGCTGTCAGTTCGCGTTCCGTGGGTGCATCTCGTCGAGCGTCGTGCGCGCGCGATGCGCCGTGTGGCCGTCGGTTTCGTGCTCGCGGTAAAGACGCGCTGTACGACGACGGACAATCACTAGCCTACCCCACAATCGACATTCCCGGAGTCCTGGGTCTCGTACGCGTCCAGCGTCGCCGTGGATTACCCGCGGGGTGGCACGGCCGTGAAGAGACGGAGGAGACACGCGGTGGAAGAGGAGCAGAGGACAACGCGAGGAACGGTGAGTATATAACCGATAACGGTTTTATCGTGTTTGTGTTTTGATTCCGCGGCTGGTGCGGAGGTACTCGGTTCTTTATCGTCGATGACGTCGTCGTCGTCGTTGTTGTCGCAAATGTCGCGATTGCGAAAGGAGGAACGCCGGCTTTCCAATGACTCCAGCTTCCCGGAAGAACCATCATCATAATAAACAAACGTAAATACGCCATTGACCCTTCGCTCGGCACGAGGTCCGAACGAGTCTCCGGATTTCGTCCTTCGTGCCCGCCGGAACTGTTCAATTCCCGACGAATTGTCGACCCTCGGACGAGCGACGCGAAGGCGAAGTACGGTAAATCGGTGGTACTCTCTCCATTAGGCGACGTCGGATCTGTTGTTTTCGATCGCGAACAAGAGAGAGAAAGGTAGAGGGAGGGGGGAGGAGAGAGAGAGAGAGAGAGAGAGACAGCGTCTCGCTTGCATGGGGGCGTTACATTTATACGCGATGGGGGACGTTCCTGACATTGATCGTTGTTACTATCACGTTATTACCACACTTGCAAATGATAACGAATAAGTGCGATCGGTTTCGTGATAAAGTAATGAGATTTTTTTAATATCTTGAACGGACGTTCGTACAAAACACCTTGAGATGTTTCTGCTAATGCTAATTAGCAGTTCTGCTAATAATAGTTTTATTTTCATCTTGATTCAATTGACTCTCTATTATTTTTCTCTGGTTTCTAAAAATTAGAAAAAGGATGAAGAGTAAAAATTAAACTAAGGTTAAAGTTAATTTACAGTGATAGAAATAGACGTGAGATGTCCTTGGTATTGTTATCCGTACAACGTTTGGCAGATGTCATTATTGACTATCTCTCGATAAAGAAACCCCCATTAAACGTGATAATTATCGAAAGTGGCGGAAAGGAGCGAAAAAAAAAAAGAGAAGAGAAGAAGACTATTTCGAGAAAATTGAAAATGATTACTTTGCACAAAGTAAAATATTTAGTTAACAGCTTTTTACATCAGCAGCTGTCTTAAAAAGAAACCTCCATTAAAGGCGATAATTACCGAGACCGTGGTGGAAAGAACCCAAAAGGCACGTAATGCAAAGATGTACAAAAATTATTCCGAAAAAATTGAAGATGATTACTTTACGTAATATTTTTATTTGAAAATATTTAGCTAATAAATGTTTAATCGAGCAGTTATCTTAAAATAAAGTCTTAAAATTTTTTTTTAACTACCTGATTCGATGATGCATAAAAATATTCTTTAAATAATATCAAGAACATCAGAAACGTGCTCATCCTTTATATTAGGTTGCTATTGATATTGATGTCATTGCATAGCAACACGATTGGCTGTTATTGCATCGATTATTAGCCATTGATCAGTGCATTCACGTGATCGTTAAAATTATGAAGAATCTACAATCGTCAATTCTCGTTTGTATGTTTTGACCATACCTGTGTGTTCGCTGTAACTATTAGTAACTCGTGGAAAATGAGGGAAGGACCCTTTCGAAGCAGGCTTTGTTTTCCTATCAGAAGGGCGTAACCGGCTAATCGCATCCGAAGGAGAAGCCCTCCTCGAGGAAGGATTGTTTTATCCTCTACATTATGTGTCTGAGACCGACATGGCTTTCTTGCGTTAACCGTAATTTATGTGCATTCGAATTTGGCCGATAGTTTACGGAGCACTTAATCGCGTAAATGGAAGAGTATTGTAAGTGTCGATATTTTATTAACTTTTTAAGCCTAAATTTGCATTTTATACCGCTGACAAATATATAAGAAATAAGGTAACGCAAGATAGAATTTAAATCTCGTCGAAATATATACCTCGAAATAAAATAGCATCCTCTTATCTATATGCTCGCCGCATTACCACGCGACATATACATATGTGTGATTTATTGTTATTATTTCAGTTATATCTAACTTTGACGTAGTTGAGCTTTTTCTTATATATACTTAATTGATGTATAATTATTATTTAGAAAAGAATGTAGAATATTAAAAATCTGAAAAAAATCTGGACTTTAAAATATAGAATTTATTATTTGAAACACTCAGTTCGTTTCTTTAATACATTCTGTCTGTATATAGTTGCAATACACACAACATTAAATGAAACAATTAAAAATGTAGCATAGTCTTTTTCAAATCTGACAGTACACAGAGAAAAATACGTATTGCAGTCAAATATTAAATATCTACTGTTGTTTTAAGTATTTCAAAACTTCCCACATTCAAAAATTTATTATAAATTTATCATAAGCATCAAATTTATTCGAAACATATTTTGAATCGCGATTATAGTAATATTTAATACTTTAATCAAGATTATTAAATTAAAACAAATTCGACTTGGTTATCATATATAGTCATTTTTTCAATAAAATTTTATAATATTCTTTAAAACATAAATTCTTGTTTTAAGTGCATTATAATGAAATTTTTTTAAAATATGTAATAAATATATTTTAAACTTATTATTAAGAAAATAATTTTTGTTAAAGATAATTGTTAGTTAAAAGAAAAAAAGTAAATTGAGTAATCACTTTTTTTAATAATAAAATGATATTTTTCTGTGTATATTAGCGAAATATAATATTACTTGAGAAAAATAATTGAAATAGAAGATAGTAAATACATATTTTTGGTGCAAGGAAAAAATTGTAATGGATTTAATAGAAATATTTATTTAAAGGACGTCTTTAAAAAATATTATTAAAGTATTTTGTTAAATATAAAAAAGGCAAATAGTATTTATTATTTTTACATTTACTTGAAATATTTATTAGACATTTCGAAATTTCATTGTTATATAACTTCTTCTATTTTTTAATTTTCTTAATAGATATACTTTTAAAACGGAAAATAGTAAAAAACAAAATAAAAAATAGGACATGCTTCATAGATACACAGAAGTATAGATGTAATTTGTTTTTCTACGAGCATGTTTTAAAATAAATTTACTTATCATTGATTACCTATTTGTAACATAAAAATATTAATAAAATAATATAATGAGTGCAGTTTCTGTGGATTCCGAATCATTTGTTGGGACGTATCCCAAGAGCACAACATGTTGTTCTGTTTTATTTTATCAATATATTATTTTTTATTTTATATTGTTAAGAAATAGAAAATAGTAAATAAAGAATAGAAAATAAAAGAATTTATTTAACCAGGAGTAGTAAAATGTCAAATAAATATTTTTGTTTTAAGTAAATGTTAATGTAAATAATAAATACTATTTGGCCTTTTTATATATTTACTACGCAAAATACTTATTTCAAACAGTATTTTTATTTTATACATTCATTTTTTAAATAAATATTTCTATTGATTTTATTTTAATTTTTCCCAGCACTGATTATTACACCAGCATTATTATCTCTATATCCATTTCTATCAATGTGAATTAACTTTAATCTCAATTTAATTTATTTTTTTATCTTCCTCTAATTTTAACAATTGAAAACAGGAGTAAATTAAACCAAGATTAAAACTAAGCATCTACACTGATAGTAATGGACATTATATTACAAACATCAATAGTTTTTTTTTTTAATTTGATACAATACTTGATATAATATGCGATATTTGTTTTTATTACAATCAGATTCTTATCGATGTCAAGATACTTTCATATAATCTCAACGTCATTTCGATAATTCATTCGTCGTTGACAAATGTAGCTAGACAGAGCTGAAACTGTCGTTGGACATTGGATGTCCTAATCGGCCCTCCAGATGCACGGGCGAGAATTGAATGTAACAAGCGCTCGATCGAGGCCGGCTTAAATGCAGGTCTGATTTAAGTTTAACCACGGAGCCCTTACGGTCGATTGGCCGACCGCGCGCGCGGCCAACCTCGGCTTAACCTTTAAATCACGTTGGCGGCGAGTTCTCGCTTCCATCGGAAATTGCACGCGTCACTGTGCATCCTTGTGGGATAAATATCGCTTGCAAGAGAGAGATAAAGAAGGAAAGTGAGAGGGGCAGGGGAGGGGGGGGAGAAAGAGGAGGTCCGGTGAGAAATTGGCGACCGCGAATTGGCCGCTTGATAGAAGCTGCGTTTCACACGAAACAGTACAACAACTTCCTTAACATGTTAAATGCCGTACAAACTTCTTGATCTTAATCTCAAACGATCTTCAATTACTTGGATCCAATTAATTGAACTTGATTAACTTCGCGAAAGTCGGAAGATCGCACGCTCGATACATGCAATTTGCACTCGTTATTTTTTAATTGCTTTTCTTTACGCTTCTAACTTCTAATTTACATGTACAGAATTTACATTTTATGAGATACATTTTATGAGATATGTTCAGATTTGCTGATAATTTTAATAGTAACCTACGAGATTTTGTATACTGATGTATTATTATGTAGAATTATGTGCTATTGCTGCTTGAAGCATTATCAATCATTTCTTCTGCACGAAGAGTGCATCTTTTTACTTTAATCCTTTATTCTATTTGACGTTATGGCAATCGGGACTGGCAATCATTATTGCGTAAAATGTTCGTACGATAGTATTAAATATATAGTGCTCTTTCTATGGTTCGAGTGCTCCTCCATACATATTGGATCTCTTTTTCTCTTCTTTTCGATATGAGCTTTATTTTTTTTCCCCGTGAACGCGTGCATGATCGTTTTGGTGAGCATACTTCATGTGTGTTGCCGTAACAGTTGAATGGCTATTCCAATATTTTACATCGCATATCGTTCGTTATTATAGATACTTAAAGGCGTCATAAATAACGTCTTGCGCGCAGCTGAAATATTTTTCTATAAAATATACTCGATTCTCGCCCTGCACACAAATTAGATATTATTCATTCAGCGACATTCAATAACGATGTCTCTTAGAATTCCATACGCATTAACGATGAAATTCTACTTGCTTCTCAATGAATTCGTGTCGTCTGTCCTGTGGCGGATGTTAATTACCCGCTCAGCGCGTCTAAAGCGACTTTTGTATTGGTAGTCTGAAACGTTAT